AAAAAAAAAAAAAAAAAAAAAAGATGGCTAAATGTTGAAACAGAACCTTACAAAGTCCAACCCAGGTTTTCTTACGGCTTTCTATTTGGAATTTCGACTTTGTTGACAACATTGCGTTGGGTTCGCACCTGAAGCACAATTTCTTTTCTTAATTGCCATCCTCTCTAGTCTGGAACTGAATGTAAAATTGTCCAAGATTGAAGCCACGAAGAAGCATTACGAGGTTGTGACCTTTACGATGGCAGCCGAAGAGGATGACGAGGACGCCGTCAAGTCTCAAGCTCACTACATTGCCAAGGTAAGAAGATGGGAAACGTCGCCATTTCTTCTGGCACCGTCATGGAGATGCCACTCTCTTCCACTAGGCCGCGCTAGAGAAAGCCGAACTCAAGCAGCGGGGAGAGTGTCTAAATAATAAAATCCGCAAGGCCCAGCAGGAAAATAAAGCTCTGGAGAACACAACTCTGTTATTCCACATCAGCAACACCGGATTTCACACAACAGTCGTCAAAGCGAAAGAAGCCAGTATGTAAACTTGACGGTAACGTTCTTATCGCTGGCAATGATTCGTGAGAATAGTTTGCTTGTAAAACCTTTGATCTTGTGTGATTGTCCCTTTTTGCCCCAATACTGTTTCCCAAGTTTCTCTACTGATAGAAACCGTTCAAACTTAACATATGCAGTGGTGCCAGACAGCCAATATACTTAAAGGCATGTTTTTGTGTCTATCGGTAGAAGTGCATTATGCCGCCCCCTGGTGTCCAACGCTCACACATCCAAAGGAATGGCACAATGTCCATTGAAGTGAAGAAAAAAAGAAGTCGTGAATTCCCATGCATTCCTTACACTCTTTAATTGCCATTTCTGTGTTTTGGGTCAACTGTAATCGTAAAAAATGTGCTTTTTATATTTTAAAATACATTACAAAAATGTTGATATTTCAGAGGGCATTCTGAAACGGATTCATAGCATTGCCATTCATTTCACTACGAGTGTTGAGATCTCTTAATTATAAATGTGAGAGTAAGAAATTGAGAAAAAGATAAATAATAGATGTGTGTTTCCACGTCAGCTCCAGATTATCAGGAAAAGTTCAAGCTTGAAGAGCAGCTGCAGGTAGCCGAGGAAACGCTGGGGTCCAAAAGGCAGATGGCTAAAAAGCTTCGTGAGGACCTACAGGTACTGCAAGC